TATTCAAAGGCAACAAAAAGTCGCCTTTACAGATCGATGGTGACCTAAGTCATTTTGCTGACTTCTAAATAACCCAAGGGGGTCGGTGAATAAATGTAGCAGGCGTGGGAATGGCGTTACTTATGACAAAGCTGCCCGAACAGTCACCTTTCGTTCGATTATGATTGACGTTTACCTGTCCGTTCCATTAGTTCGCGTCGCCGGCTTATCGAGTATCGCGGATCAAAAGCAAACGCGTTATCCGTGCCGCGAAATAATGGCACGGCGAATTGCATTCACGGGGGATGTCGAGTTTGCACCAGTCTGGCGGTTAATGTTGCACAGACCGAAACTTGTTCGAGATAGCAAAGACAGAGAGACAGACAGAGAGAGAGAGAGAGAGAGAGAGAGAGAAACACAGAAAGAGAGAAAGAGACAGGGAGAGAGAGAGAAAAGAGGGAGAGAGGGAGAGAAAGAAAGAGAGAGAGAGAAAGGGAGAGAGAAATAGAAATAGAAAGAGAGAGATAGGAAGAGAAAGAGAGAAGGAGAGAGAGGGGAGGAGAGAGAGAAAGAGAGAGAAAAAACGAGAGAGAGAGAGAGACAGGGAGAGAGAGGGGAGAGGGAAAGAGAAATAGAGAGAAAGAGAGTGAAAAAGCGAGAAAAAGAGTGAGAAAGCGAGAAATAGAGAGAAAGAGAGAGAGAGAGAGAAAGCGAGAAATAGAGAGAGAGAGAGAGAGAGAGAGAGAGTGAGAAAGCGAGAAATAGAGAGAAAGAGATAAAGAGGAAGAGAGAGAAAGAGAAAGAGAGAGGGAGAGAGAGGGAAGGAGAGAGAAAGAGATAAAGAGGAAGAGAGAGGAAGAGATAAAGAGGAAGAGAGAGAAAGAGAAAGAGAGAGGGAGAGAGGGGGAAGGAGAAAGAGAGAGGGAGAGAGGGGGAGGAGAGAGAGAGATGGTATCGCAGAATCGCGGTGGCGGGTAATAAAAGAATCGCGCGGACCATCCACGCACGCTGGCCGAGCCATTCAGGAATGCTCCGTTTGGTATGAAGGCCTCCGCCGTTCGTTAAGTCAGCAGGCTCGCGTAAAATTAGTGCGGCCAACGCAAATTTAAAAGCATCTCTCGAGACCGCCGCGCCGGCAATTTGCGGACGACCAAAGCGGACCGTAAGTAATCTGCGGGTTATCGTGAACCGACCGCGGGCAACGATTCGACGCGAAGTTTCGGCCGTTCTTCACTGGATCGTCGGCATTTTTGATACCCCGTGCACGTGTATTTAAAATACTCGTGTACCCGCGTAATTAACCCTTTTAGTGCCGGCTGAAAATGTACTTAAGCGAAAAACACTGAGCCAAGTGGATGTAATTTGGTCAGGACTGAGGGAAAAGTGATAGAAATTTTGTAAAAAGATAATCATTACTAAATTCATAAAGAATATGAACATAAGAAGATATAATAAAAATATGAAATTCATAAGAGAAAAGTTTCATTCGTGTAACTTAAGCTGTTTTTGACGAGTATACTCGTCACGAAGAAATTGCAATATTTTGTACCGTGACGTTGTATTTTTGTCAAAAACATCTAACTGATTACATTCGATAAATAATTGAGAATTGTTAATTAAATATTTTGACTTAATTTCCGGAAATTGTCCCATTTCATTGCCACCTAGGTATCTGTACAGTATTTATGAATTATAAAATAGATCAACAAAAATTACAAATTGTAATCTTTGAATGACTACGGTTGGAATCAAAACTTTGAGTGAAAAGAATGGAACGAGGTGTTAGTCCGAGCGTTAAAATTTCAGTAACAGTAGTGTTACAATTTCAGTAATAGTTAAAATATGCAGTTCGCCGTAATGAATACAGTTATATTTGCCAGAGATAATATCTGCTACCTATTCGTAACTTGTGGCTCTTGTTTTGTTACTAGACTGTGAATGTATATGCATTCATAAATATTTATAGATTCCTTCAAAAGGCAGTGTTTAATAGTACGTAATTGCACTTGCATACGTTTCTGCAAACTATTATTTATTTAGACAAGTACTGGAAGTTAAATAATAATAGTATAATAGCCGTACAAATAAAACTACATCACACATTTATTTTTTTTTGCTTCGTTTTCTATTACTATAATTATCTTTCACGTCTCTTCTCGTTTCTGTACACGCCACATTTTTATGTTTCATCGTTCATACTGTTTAAGACTTGATATAATATTAAGCGACGATGTACACAGACGTGAACGCATTTTAATTATTTTTTATTTTTTAATTTTATTATATTATATAATATATATTTATTATATTATTATTATTATTAATTTTATTATTTATTTTATTTTATTTTTCAATTATTTTTATAGCTTCTCGTTGCAGCTCTGTTTCCAATTTTCGATTTCGTGTGTCGAATTGCGAAATTCGGTTTAATCTCCGATCGCGAAGGATTGAGTAAACGTTGCAAAAATACGCGAATGGTGTTGACCACCATGACGACCGTACTCTTTTGCGACTGAACATCGATCCGGAAAATTCAATGACATTTAAGACACAAGAGAGGGCGACGCAAAAAGGAATTGTGCGAGCAAAACTAATTAACTAAACAGAATCGGACAAAATAGGTCTAGAAATCCGGAATTTTGCGTTCGTCGACCACCCGCACCAAAATCAATCTATCGCGCGTCGCATGGTTATCGAATTAAACCGTGATCAGTTTACAATGTTCGGACAGTTCCTTTCACGCAGGTCACCGATGGGGATCTCGCAAAAAAGTCTCGCCAGCTGCTAAGATACGCTTTCATATGTTTCCGACAGTATAACCCAGATCAAAAGGCGGAAAGCCGTCCTGGAGACTGTTTTAGCGTTACATGGCCGAGAAATTATAAAATATAAGTGGGATTCCAACGAATCCGGGAAATTATAATGGGCGATATATGGAACGAGGATTAAGTCGTTGATAGAGTTTCGTAAAAAGAACATAAAGTGTCGACCAATGGATATGAAATAATCTCTAGCCGAGAAAAATATTGCCGACTGGAGCGTGAACCATAAGAATGCTATCGATGGATCTGCAGCTAGTAGTCGATAAAATTGCAATAAATATTACATTATAGAAAATTAAAATGAATACGCCATAAAAAAACAAGAGGATAGAAAGTTGGGCAAGAAAATTCGCCAAGAGCCTTAAACACTGAAAATAAACGGGATAGCAAAGAGTATCAAATGGGCCGTTAAGAGAAAGGAAAGATCTGAAGAAGTCCCTGAAGAAGCAGTAAAATATTGTATAAGGAATAAAGTAACAGGTAAAAAGAATCGGATCTATGATAAAATAGTCTAGAAACAATATACACAGTGAATGTGTCTAAAATGTTTGAGGTGTAATTAATACTAAAAAGAGCGCAAAACATTGTGTTTCATTATCATGATTGATAAAAATCCTCCTTCGCTCACAATCTCGTTCTACAAATTCTTTTCATTTTATACCTCTTACGAGTAGATAATTAATATTAATAAAAAATTTCCAGACGCAATGTTGAAGAATTAGATCGAAAGTAAAAGTAATGACGCCCCGAAGCTTCCTCCGCGAACATGTTACGGATTACATCAATTTAATAGAATTCGGAATTGCTTCAAACAAATTGCTTCGACCTGGCTGATTTGAGAAATGCGCCAAATAAATGGCTTCTGTGTAGCGGAATTGGGAAATGCTTTTAATCACTTGCTTCGATTTAGTAGAGTTGGAAATTGTAGCAATTAAATTGTTTCGATTTAGTAGAGTTGGAAATTACAACATATAAATTGCTTCGATCTAGTAGATTCGAGAATTGCTTGAAATAAATTGTTTGGTTTTAGTAGAATTGGGTACTGCTTCTAAGAAGTTACTTCGATTTTGTAAATTCTTTCGAGATTTTGTCAATTGAATTGCTTTTGATTTTATCAAATTCGGAATTGCTTCTAAGAAGTCATCGCGATTTAATAAATTCCTTAGTAATTCTGTCAATTGAATTGCTTTCGTTTCAGAAGAATTCGGAATTGCTTCTATTAAACTGCTTCAATTTAGTATATTTCGGAATTGTTTCTAATAAGTCATCACGATTTAGTAAATTCTTTTGAAATTCTGTCAATTAAATTGCTTTCGATTTTATAAAATTCGGAATTGCTTCTAATAAATTGTTTCGATTTAGTGGATTTAGGAATTACTTTTAAGAAGTCATCGCGATTTAATAAATTCCTTGGAAATTCTGTCAATTAAATTGCTTTCGTTTCAGAAGAATTCGGAATTGCTTCTATTAAACTGCTTCAATTTAGTATATTTTAGAATTGCTTCTAATAAGTCATCACGATTTAGTAAATTCTTTCGAAATTCTGTCAATTAAATTGCTTTCAATTTAGAAGAATTCGGAATTGCTTCTAATAAATTTCTTCGATTTAGTAGATTTTGGAATTGCTTCTAATGTCACCACAATTTAGTAAATTCTTTTGAAATTCTGTCAATCAAATTGCTTTCAATTTAGAAGAATTCGGAATTGCTTCTAATAAGTTTCTTCGATTTAGTAGATTTTGGAATTGCTTCTAATAAGTCACCACAATTTAGTAAATTCTTTTGAAATTCTGTCAATCAAATTGCTTTCAATTTAGAAGAATTCGGAATTGCTTCTAATAAGTTTCTTCGATTTAGTAGATTTTGGAATTGCTTCTAATAAGTCACCACAATTTAGTAAATTCTTTTGAAATTCTGTCAATCAAATTGCTTTCAATTTAGAAGAATTCGGAATTGCTTCTAATAAGTCACCACAATTTAGTAAATTCTTTTGAAATTCTGTCAATCAAATTGCTTTCAATTTAGAAGAATTCGGAATTGCTTCTAATAAATTTCTTCGATTTAGTAGATTTTGAAGTTGCTGCTAATAAGGCACCTTGATTTAGTAGATTTGCGAATTTCGGCAAGCAAATTGCCTGAATTCGATAGAGTATTAACGGGACGATAAGATTGTGAACACTCCAAAGAAAGTATCACCTACCTGACATCGTGGAGCTTCGGATACGAGCATATTCTGAGCGTTTTCGAGTTCGATCCCACGGCATATAATTTTCCATGGGGGTGGAATTCGGCGCATCGGACCGCTTGCACGTCTTCGAGCGCAGTTACGGGAACGAATCGCGGCCTTCCGCCATTGCTGCTGCCGTTGCTGGCGTCCAATTCTTGCCTCGGCTCTTGCTGGAATCAAAACAACAACCAGTTTATTATGCAGCCCTGGGCGCGCGACTAATTGCGATCGTTCCACGTTGTCAGGGATTAATGACAGCGCGCGGCGCGACTAAAAGCATCGAGATCTGATACGATCTGCGCGCGGTCTAGCCGTCATAAATGTCGCTGGCAGGGAACGTGCGTCATTGGTAGTCGGCCTTTCAATGACTCCTGAATGTGGCACTAGTGGTCGAACCGTGATCCGTATTTGGCATGACATTCTTGTAATGAACAAAAATTTTGTTAGGGAAAAGGTACGCTTAAAGGTTGGTCGTTCAGCTAAATTGTACAATCAGTCGGATTGGTAGAGAAAATGTTGACAAGCTAAGTATTACGCTATTTTTATACACACTTACCTGTCTGTCATTTAAAAATATTATATATATATATATAATAATATAATAATATATAATAATAATAATATATAAATAATATAATATAATAATATATAATAATAATAATAATGTAATATAATAATAATATAATAATATATATTATATTATTATATTTATATTATTATATATACTAATTAAATGAATCGTGCTGTTATTATATTAAGAAAACGAAATGACAGTCGTAAAATTGGGAAGTATTACATTGAACTCTTTTAATACGTTCGATAAATTAAATCCAACTTGAGAATATTCTTAAATGTCCCTGATGCTAATGATTTTCTAACGTAAAAAATTCGTAATATGGTAATTACGGTATCAAACACATTTTAGCAACAGGCTGCAACTAACTAACGGCCTCGTAGCAAATTAACAACGATTAGATTGTTCTTTCGATCATGACAAATTATAGAGTTTACGCAAGTTTCCATTTTATACCGCTCTGTTGATACAATAACATAGTTTGAAAGGACATAAATGTCTGGTCGATTTATGCTCGGCTGTTCTTTTAAGCAGCGTTAATATTCATAGAACCCAAAGGCAAGGTAAAGTTACGACTTTAATCAAGAAAAAGCGAAATCGCTGTAACTTTCGATGATTCGACGCGATCTTTCCCCGATACATATTTCACTTTTAAACCGGATCGCTTGCCATTAGATCCCGAGTGACGTCCGTTTTGACCCCTTTTGTGTGCCCTATACGTAAGAAAAGTTACGCACACAGCTTAAAGACATTTTCCACCGCGAACCAGTTCGTTGCGCGCAATCCGACGTGTTACGACCAGCGAACGTAACGGACGACGAAAACTTCAACGGAATTAGAAAGTCGGACCTTGAAAGGATTTCTAACGCCTCTTTTCTACACAATCATGAAATTTATTTGTATGCTAATCCCGGCGGAGCTTCCTGCTCGCGGCGCTTTGACGTTTCGAGCCGTGTTCACAATAATACAGTTGCACTTACGGTGCATGTGCCGCTGCGCCGGCAGTAATGCAACAAGCGCCAACCGTGCCAATTAATCTGGTGCCATTTTTGGTAAAGTTTCTACTTCGTTAATGTGTCAAGTTCTATTTTTGAAATATTCCGACTTTCTTTCTAGAAGTACTCTTTCTAGAGTTACGTTTAATACACTGTTTTTTTAGATTGTCCATAATGTAGAATCTACATAATTAATAATATAAAAATTGGCACTATTGAAGACTTAATTTTAATATGTAGAATAATATCGCGCACACACACACACACAATTTATATTCTTTTCTAAATGTATCAGGTACAGGTATAATATAGTTAATTGACCATAATGAAATATCTTTTTCTCACATTTTCACATGTTTTCATATTACTGATATAAACAGATAGTAGATTAAAAATAATTCTCAATCGTCGTTTGTACATGCGGATTTTATACACTTATGCGAAAAATGAAATGATGAAATTTAAAATAGTGAAAAGAAAGTAGGAATGTTAATGTACCCGTCATTATTTAAGAAAAATACGAAATAAATCGCTCCTAAATCTTGCAATTGATGCAGATAATTTTTATCTTGCACAAAACTCGGTGGTCTAATAATTAAAACGAGTCGCGACAGCATTTCGCATTTCGTCTATCACGTATTATCAAATCTATGTAGATGTATTCGTAAACAAGTTATCGAATAAATTGATTCGTACGCGTTCATATCGTAACAAAAATCAATCGAAGCCGTAGTTTTACAAATTGTTCTACGCGAACCTTATTTGTAGTGTTCCACAAATCTACTGGCTACAGTAAATTAAGTTTGGTGAATGGAAACTGCATGCTGAATGGAACCACACAGGTTGTGCATACTTCCCCAGCAACCTATTAAATCGTTCTGTCTCTCAGTTTTATTTTGATCTAGACACGATATCCCGCCAGCGCAATTTCAGCCAGCTGCAGGAAACTCACTCTGGCACGAGGACGCTTCCAGCGAGCAACAACGTCGCAGAGTACGTAAATTTGCCTCGTGGGGCCTCCGAAATTTTTTCGCCGCACGTTTTTGTGCAACGTTTCGCGCGCCTCGCCGCGCTCTTACTTTCGAGTCCTGCGTGTTCTTCGGCCACGATTATCTCGATCGGGGGAATTAGCAAAGCAAATAGGGTCGTTTTGTCGGGCTCTGTTGTTGGCGACCTCCTCTTGGTAAACCACGAACCGAGAGCAAACTCGTCTCGATATCACGGTAAGGTAATCTCACTTCGTTCTTTGCGATCAGTGTTTCATTTTGATTCTCCATGCTTGAGGTATGACGAGTTCCACATTCCTTAATATGTATTAGGTTTACCGGAAAGTTTTATCCGTTTTTGAATTGAAATATAACACAATTTTCATACATTTCATAATATTTATTGTAGAATATACTTTCCATCGTTACTTATGACTTCTTGCCAGCGTGATGGCAACTTGTAAATGCCATTTTTAAAAAACAGTTGCCGATTGTCAACAATTATAAACACGAGGTGCAAGGCTCAAATCTCCTCTTTACAAATTGTCCATTTTTGTTTACAAGCTGAAAGAAAATTGGGCAGAATTTACTATATCTGTCTCTTATACACATCTTTTCCATCGTTACTTATGACTTCTTAGATGTGTATAAGAGACAGATATAACACACAATTTTCATAGATTTAATAATATTTATTGTAGAATATACTTTCCATCGTTACTTATGACTTCTTAGATGTGTATAAGAGACAGATATAACACACAATTTTCATAGATTTAATAATATTTATTGTAGAATATACTTTCCATCGTTACTTATGACTTCTTAGATGTGTATAAGAGACAGATATAACACACAATTTTCATAGATTTAATAATATTTATTGTAGAATATACTTTCCATCGTTACTTATGACTTCTTAGATGTGTATAAGAGACAGATATAACACACAATTTTCATAGATTTAATAATATTTATTGTAGAATATACTTTCCATCGTTACTTATGACTTCTTAGATGTGTATAAGAGACAGATATAACACACAATTTTCATAGATTTAATAATATTTATTGTAGAATATACTTTCCATCGTTACTTATGACTTCTTAGATGTGTATAAGAGACAGATATAACACACAATTTTCATAGATTTAATAATATTTATTGTAGAATATACTTTCCATCGTTACTTATGACTTCTTAGATGTGTATAAGAGACAGATATAACACACAATTTTCATAGATTTAATAATATTTATTGTAGAATATACTTTCCATCGTTACTTATGACTTCTTAGATGTGTATAAGAGACAGATATAACACACAATTTTCATAGATTTAATAATATTTATTGTAGAATATACTTTCCATCGTTACTTATGACTTCTTAGATGTGTATAAGAGACAGATATAACACACAATTTTCATAGATTTAATAATATTTATTGTAGAATATACTTTCCATCGTTACTTATGACTTCTTAGATGTGTATAAGAGACAGATATAACACACAATTTTCATAGATTTAATAATATTTATTGTAGAATATACTTTCCATCGTTACTTATGACTTCTTAGATGTGTATAAGAGACAGATATAACACACAATTTTCATAGATTTAATAATATTTATTGTAGAATATACTTTCCATCGTTACTTATGACTTCTTAGATGTGTATAAGAGACAGATATAACACACAATTTTCATAGATTTAATAATATTTATTGTAGAATATACTTTCCATCGTTACTTATGACTTCTTAGATGTGTATAAGAGACAGATATAACACACAATTTTCATAGATTTAATAATATTTATTGTAGAATATACTTTCCATCGTTACTTATGACTTCTTAGATGTGTATAAGAGACAGATATAACACACAATTTTCATAGATTTAATAATATTTATTGTAGAATATACTTTCCATCGTTACTTATGACTTCTTAGATGTGTATAAGAGACAGATATAACACACAATTTTCATAGATTTAATAATATTTATTGTAGAATATACTTTCCATCGTTACTTATGACTTCTTAGATGTGTATAAGAGACAGATATAACACACAATTTTCATAGATTTAATAATATTTATTGTAGAATATACTTTCCATCGTTACTTATGACTTCTTAGATGTGTATAAGAGACAGATATAACACACAATTTTCATAGATTTAATAATATTTATTGTAGAATATACTTTCCATCGTTACTTATGACTTCTTAGATGTGTATAAGAGACAGATATAACACACAATTTTCATAGATTTAATAATATTTATTGTAGAATATACTTTCCATCGTTACTTATGACTTCTTAGATGTGTATAAGAGACAGATATAACACACAATTTTCATAGATTTAATAATATTTATTGTAGAATATACTTTCCATCGTTACTTATGACTTCTTAGATGTGTATAAGAGACAGATATAACACACAATTTTCATAGATTTAATAATATTTATTGTAGAATATACTTTCCATCGTTACTTATGACTTCTTAGATGTGTATAAGAGACAGATATAACACACAATTTTCATAGATTTAATAATATTTATTGTAGAATATACTTTCCATCGTTACTTATGACCTGTCTC